ATTAATGCCTCAACTATTCAAAAAAAAAAAAATTTATTATAAATGGTTATACGATATAATATTTTTGTTTAATAATATTTTTTAATTGAATGACATTTTAACCCTCATAAAAAAATAACATGATTAACGATAAGGGGTTTTGAAAAAAAAATTAAAAGTTAAGGGAGTTAATTTTAAACTTTTAAAGTAAAGGGGAGTATATGCAATTGTCTCGAGGTTTAAAGAAATTCTATGCATTTTAGTCTCAAAATAAAGATGGTGACATGGGCAGTCGCGGCGACAACGAGAGCAATAATGGGGACAATGAACATTGTGCAAGTCATAGTTGGGACATGGCACCATAGAATGGTAGGATCCAATGATTTAAAAAAACAAAGTAGATTAGGATTTGTTTGGGGAGAGGTATTTTTGAATTAGCAAAATATAACATAGATAAATTAGTCTCAGTAAAATAGAGATGGGAAATTGGGGCGGACTATAACTCAAGCCCTAAAGCTTGATTTTTTTTTAAAATTTTTGACCTAATTTTAAAGTTTGGCCTTTATTTAAAGGGTTTAAGGGTTAGGCTTGTAAACTCACTTTAAAAAAATAAAAAAATTATAATTTAAATAAAATATTCTAAAATTCATCATAAAACAACTAAGGTCTCGCATCAAATAAATATTTAAAAGTCTAAATTTAAGATAAAAATTAAAACCTTTATCAATTTAAATTTGAATCCTTTTCATTATTATCTAAAAATAAAATATTAAATTCCTCATATGTAGGTCCACTTGTTGAAAGTGGAGGTGGAGGTTCAATATTAATTATCTTTACAGCTTCTTCTTCATCACCTATAATAAATATTAACCAAATTATATCATTATTATATATATAAGATGTATGTATGTATGTATCAGAAGACAAAATATAAAAATTACCTTAAAATGACACAAAACTATTTAACCATAGGTACAAAGTAATGCTAAAAAATTAATTCACTAGCTACTATAGTGATCAGAATACTTTGATTTGCTTGTCTTTTTTGAAAGATTGGGAAAATCATTATTGATTAGTCTTTCGCCAATGCAACACATCTAATTCTAAAAATTAGTAACCATTAAGGGAAGCTTCTTTCAAAGAATAATCTAATTCAGATTTCTTAATGGAAAAAAAATCCCTATTCTTGAAATTAAGATCACCATACATTAAAAAAAATTCTTAATCTAATCATATAGTGCGTTTTTAGTTTTTACAAAAAAAAAATTTGTAACAGGATTTGAAAGGTTGTACAGTTTTAAGTCTTTTTTCAAAACTTATTAGAGCTGGGCCTCAAAGCTCAGTTATCCTAAAATTACTAATTTTTTTAAATCTAAACTCTTATTTAAATAAAACTTTCAGGCCTGATTTTAATTTTTGATATTATATAGCCCTACATATTGGAGGGAAGTGTTTGGAGCGGGAGGGCCCCCCACTTTCACTACCAAAACAAGGAAAGAGGAGTAAAATCTCTTCCATTTCCTCCCCTTTCCTAAACCAAGTAGGGTCTTAAAAAATAATATATTTTTTAGTTAAAGGATCAAAATACTATTTCTTTTTCTGTGCTTATGAATGCTATCAATATGTTAGTGTAAAAAAAAGCAGGATATTTAATTATTTTCTTTAAAAAACGTATTGCTGCTCCAAGACTATGGTCTTCTGCAACTTTATTTCTACATTTAAGGTTTATGCGCAAGTATTTGGGTCTTTTGGTTGGCCAATTTTTCTAACTATGGAGTGTATGATTTTTTTTAATATAGATTTTATGTTAATATATAAAAACATTTTAAATAATAACTAATTATCTATGCATATTTAACAAGTTATTCCAAATCCAACTAATTATTGAATCAGTTCAAGACAGTTGTCTATAGTTAAACTATGGTTGATTTGAGATCAATCTACTCATGATTAAAATAATATAAAATATTCAAAAAAATATTCATATATAATTTTGAAAAGAGTAATGGTTAAATAATAAATGCATTAATCCGCATGTGAACAGAATATTAGTGTATAAATCATGCATATTCCAACAAAAAAGTTGTTAAAAGCAAAAATAGATGAACTACTTTTTTTTTTTGGCTTAACTCAAACAATATCGTTTCATGTTCAACAATTAAAAAAATTAAGAAATTCAACTCGATTGATTTATCCTAATTTTTTAACCAGAGCAACCAGTGGACTGATTTACAAGTTCATTGGTCTGACCGGCCAAGCCAGATTAGATTTTAATAACATGCAATTTAGTATATGTTGAAGGCAGTAACCAATATTCACAATATGATAAATCCATAAAGTATAATATATACAGAAAAATTAACACAGTTTACATTTGTTGTTCGCATCAATGAAACTTTTTAAGTTATTGAAAAGATTGTCAGCAACAAGACAAATAATTGAGTCATATAATTAATGAAATAACATTTTAATTTTTAATAGCTATCATCAATTAAACTTTTTTTAAGACCACCGTATTGAATGGGGGAATAGACCATTGACTTTGGAGAACAATTATTTGTCTTTTTTCCGGCCTTTTTAAAATTTACCAATAGAATAAAACTCTAAATTAAATGGTCCCCCACCCTAAGAATAATTAAAAATGGTTAGGCTTAGTTTAGAGCGATGACATAATTTTAATTTTTTATAATGGTAAGAATTTATTTTTAAAAGAAATCAAATTCCATGTTAATATAATTTTTTAATAAATAAATTACATTTTTTCGAAATTCTATTGAACTTAAATAGACCTCTTCAATATATCTAACCTTCTTCGAATTTTAACGAAATTCCTTAATTTTTACACTGTTGCCGAAAATTAGACAAAACTCCTTTGTGGCAGAATAAATAACTATTTACATTTTATTGTAGTATAAAATTTGAATACATTAATTATAAAATATGGAAAAATTATTATTGTCAGGAAAAATATAAATTTATTTCCTATCCATCTTATTCACGTGCTAGATAACGTATCTCGAGGCCAGCGCTCATATCAAGTCTAAGAAACGACATTTTATGGAATCGAATTTCTTTGGTTCCATTCTTTTACAGACAAAACTAGAAATGTAGATTATTGGCTTATGAATTGTAGTGATTTGCATATCTTATGGATATTAAAATTTTATGAGTCTTTTTGGGTAGGAAAAAGTATTTATTAGGCTAACAGAACTAATTAATTATACATTTATTTAATTAATTGTATTAGCATTAGTAATTATTAAAAATTATATTTCTAAGTATTTATGAGGCTAACACAATATTATTAAAATTTATTTAAATTATGATAAAAAATGTATAATAATATAAAAATAAAATAAATATTATAAAATGTGTGTGTAAATTATTGAGTACTTAAAAATTTATATGTAATAGAAATGGAAAAATTAGAGCTCATTAAGATCATAGTTTTAAATTTTAAATTAAATAAAAATAAAAAATAATTTTTAATATCTTATATAATACTCCTTTTGTTTAAAAATGTAAGATATTTTTTGAGAAGTTGGATATTTAAAAATGTAAGACATTTTTAGTCTTTCAAGATGTAATCATTGTCTTTTTTTTTTAAAGTGCCTTTATTGATAATAACTTTATATTTATTGTAGGGTGTTTAATAGGAATAAATATGAAAAGATAATATTAGTTTGAAAGTAAATAATTACTTTATTAAGGATTGAGATTTGATTAAAAATGTCTTATATTTTTAAATAAAAAAATAAAATTTTACATGATCTTTTTCAATATAAATAGTCAACTAAATTGTAAGAACTTAGAAGTTGTTTTCTTTTTTTTTAATCCAGTATGAATACAAATTTTTATAGTTATTAAAACAGTTGTGTTTGGCCCGAATAGTAAGTTATATCATTCCGTAAAGAAATAGTTAAGTCTGAGTGAATGTTGGTCCGAACTACTTTTTCAGTGGCCTATCTGAAAATTTCACGTAACTTTTTTATAAAAAAATTTACGAATGCCATCAAGGATACTACACTCATCTTAACAAGTCACTTTTAATTTAAAGACGAAAAAAAAAACCATTTAAGGATTTTTGTAACATTTTAATATTAAAGGAAAGACCATAACTTTGTGTTTGGTTGGAGACGAGGGAAAAAAAAAAGATGAAATTTTCTCTTCCTTTTTGGATGGAACAAGGAGAGGAGAGGAGCTTTCCTCCCTTTGTTTGGAATCTTCCTCTGGTGGATTGAATAAAACTCATTTTTCTAATACAAAAAGCAAACCTATAACATAAGCATCTATGCTTGTATTTTGCTAGCAATACAACAAAACTAGTTTCATTGGTAAGTTGAAAATGATTTTGATAAAAATGAAAATGAATATAAAAGTAAAGATGGAAGCAAGAGTGAAAATGAATATGGAGTTTAAAAAATATGTTCATCTTCACTACACATCCTCGTAGCCGACGCCATTTGCAACGAGAGGAAGATCAAGAGGGAGAAACTCACTGCAGTCAACAGAAAAGGTCGCCACCGACTTGCTAGAAGGTTGACAAGAGACAATAGAGGAAAGGGTAATGGAAGTGAGTGATGGGAGGAAGAGAAAAAAGGATAAAATATGAAACATGGAATGCAAAACTAAAATTTATTATGAAAATTAATTCCATCATTTTTTAAAATAGCTTCCACATAGAATTGGTTTACATCATAACAAACAAGCCAAAATCTCATTTCCACCATCAATTCTACTTTCACCTCCTCAATTCAAACATACAAAATGAGTTCTAAGAACTCTGTTTTTAAGAAAAGAAATGTGAAATATATCTAAAAAAAAAAAAAAAGAGTTATGCATCTTCCATTTTCTTTCGGTAAAACATTTTTCTACCTTTTAAACATTGTACATGCGTTCATGGAATAGTGCTCATTCCACTTTTCCTTTCTCGTTTGGGATTGGATTGGTGTAAGAAGTGTTCTCTCAAATAAAATGCTTTTCGAAATGGCTTTTGCGGGGGAACAAAAAAATGTGAAGGATTTTGTAAGCAGGAACAGCTACAAGCCTTGCATGAAAGTTTGACAGATTAACAGTTTATTTACAACGCTTGCTTCAACATTAAGGCCATGAAAAATATGATTACAATGCCTCACTTATGTGTAATCTCTGTACAACTCACATGGTTCCATAACAATGAGAAAAATAGCTTCAAGAGATGATGATGATGATGATATGAATCTCTCTAGAATCATGCAGCTCAAAGGTTATTTCCCCATCCTCCTCAGAAACAAGGCTAATAAGCATCAATGAGGAGATTCTGCAGCTGGAAGGCATTTTCTGTGCGATGCTTGAATATATATATATATGTATGTATATAACAGCTCAAAGGAAAAGAAAAGATGACAGCAGCTTCACAGGGAAAATTTTTCTATCCTTCCAACAGAGATCTTAGATTCTGAAGTCCCTCAGCTGAAATGCTGCTCCTGACTCTAACCCTTTCTACCACCATGGGTGGCGGCGGATCTGAGTGAAAACATACCATCACAACAGTTAAGTTGTCTATTGATCCTCTCTTAACGGCCTCCTCTACCATTTCCTGGCAGCATATTTTCACGTCATTGTGCTTTTGAAGCCGTCTCCTAGCAAAATCAACTGCATTTTGGCTAGTGAATGCATCCCAGATTCCATCACTCCCAAGTATTAAGAACTCATCTTCTTTGTTTAATGTCATCAGTTTAAGTTCTGGCTCAGCCGTCAGTGGCCCTCCTTGTCCTCTTTCACTCATTTTCTTCATTCCTTCAAGGTGCCAGTCGCCTAGAGCACGAGTCACACTGAGTTCGCCATTCAGGTAACCATCATATATAGAACCACCTAAGGATTCAATCCTCTTCCTTTCTGTATTACACAAGGGTCTGTGATCTTTGGACATTTCTATAGCCCCTCCACATCGGGACAACACTGCCCGGCAGTCCCCGGCATTGGCAACAAGCAAAGACCTGTTCAAGAAAATGATGACACTCATTTTCATAACTCATCTCATGTTGAAACAATTGCTTCCAAATTCTAAACAGAACTATCAAACAAGGTGCTGAGGCCTTGTTGGGTGTAGTGTCTGTCATGCTCATCACTCAACTTCATGTATCTTTGCTTTCTAACTTTTTAGAACAAGAATACAAAGTTATTTTTCAAACTTTCTTTCTTCATTTCAAATTGAAAGAGATCTTTTGTTTAACAATTCATCCAAAGATCTAGTTGTTGATAAAGCACAATTGCATATGCAATCTATATAGCCAACCTCACCTAGGGGGATAAAGTTTGTTTTGTTCTTGTTTCTTCGATTCAAATTATTTATTCTGTGAACAAAAAAGGCTCCTAAAAGTGAAAGAATCAAGATTGCTGCTACTCAATATCTAATGAGAAAAAGAGAGAGAGGAGAGAGAGAGAGAGAGAGAGAGAGAGTGAGCATGCACAAATACAATAATACTCCCTATACTCCCTCTGATCCTATTTATAAGACGCTTTTAATCAAGTCACACAAATTAAAAAAAGGTGGTTAAAATTAGTTAAGAGTGTTGATTTTTTTTTTTCCAAAAATTTCTATTGAAATCCCAAGTTACCCTTGGTTAAAATTATTAACTTTACTTTTAAATCTTGAAGTCAAACATACCACCCAAATGAACCAAATGGATATGTAGGTAGTTTTGGAAATAACTCATCAACGCTTCATCAAGTTTTATAAGATCTTATATTAATGAGCAAGCAAAATTTCTAAAAGGTGTTTTATATTAAGGACTGGAGGGAGTAAATTCTCAAAGCCAAGATATGAAAACCCGGCACTTCCTAGGATTTGGCACTTTTAAGCATGCCATGCAATGTAGGGAGTACAGAGAATGTGATTAATTGTTGATGAGATAATTATTTGATAAACAGAAACGACCTTCACAATTAAACACATAAGAGTGAAAGACAATATTAGGTCACAGAACAGAAATAGCATGAGCCCAGATCTTATTGAAAAGCAGTATTAAGTCACTGTTATGATTTATGAACACAAAAGAACTGTGGAGACAGGTTCTTACCTGCCATGTACAATGGCGGTTAGTGCAGTTGTACCAGAAGACATGGAAGACTCAAGAGAACAAGACTCTGCAAATGCAGCATCAGTCTTCAAGAATGACCTTGTGACTACCTTCTCCATCTCCAAGGGAAAATCAGCATCTTCTGCAATCACTCTCGGCAGATAATCTCGGACAAATTTTGCAGCACCCTCACCTCCATGTCCATCAAATACCTTCACATCAAGTTTTTTGCATTACATTTGAAAATCTGATCAAATGGTGCATGCCATACAAAAAGACAAAAACAACTAATAGTGCTTGGATCAAGTGGAAGGAACTCTATTTTTCTTGAGTGAGGTCAAGGGTTCGAGTCTCATGAATGGAAAAAATCATATTGGGGAAGTAGAATAATTTTAACTTAATAACTAAATGCTTCCTCGAATTCATCTCATAATAAGTTACACAACCAATTGGTTTGTCAACATGTGCTAACTAGACCAGTTAGATATTTTGTTTCAGTTGCATTATGTAACATAACAAGAACTCTTTCTATTTAAGGAAAGTGAGGAGGAGCATGACAAAAAGAGGAAGAATACAGGTCCTATTCTCATCCTTAAATTTTTTTCCCCTTAAAAAGCGAGTCCAATACCGAATCTTTAATCAAGTGGTTAACAAATGAAGACCAGCAAGTTATCAATTAGTGGAAAATGTTCATAAGTGTTAGCTTTGATTTGTTTATGTCATACATCGGTGTTTGGTTCCAAACTACAGAATACATGAAGAGTGTTGAAACTTCTTTATGTTATCACAAAATAAGATGCCGATTAAAAAGAATTAACTTAAAATTCATGACAGCAACAGATCAGTATAATTGGTCAGATGACTTACTCCATAAAAGGAAACTACTTCCTCACGGATAACTTTATACCCAAACTCCTTGACCATGTCTCCAACACATATGTGGGTGTCCTCCATAGAAGGACGACCTCCAATATCTGAACACTCGCCGGACCGAAGAACAGGGACAAAGTTCATCAATGTCTGCTTTTTGTCTCCAATCACTGTATCCTCACTTATGCTTTCCAGCTGAATGTGTCAAAGGAAAAATGAAAAAGAATAGAGACAAAATGATAGTAATAGAAGACATAAACAATGCAGAAGTAAAGTAATTCAAAATGCTCAACATAGCTTGAGAGCCATCAAAAAGGAGAGAGCAATCAATCTCAGATGCACAATCAGATTAGTTAACTATCCAAGAACAAACTTGTACTTAATGATGATTTGTGCAGTCTGTACCAGTCATCTAAGGAAATGTACAATACTTACAATTATGAAAAACACCGACAAGTTTGATGCTAATTAATTGAAGACTCAACAAGAAAAGAAAATGTTAAAATACTACTACTACTACAACAACAACAACAACAAGCCTTTGGATATATTGCTGACCAAAAGGTCATCATATTCTTGGAGACATGCTAATTCCTATGATAAACAATTCCATCTCAGCAAGGCTTTGATGATAGTCACAACCAAGAAATTACAGTATATCACAGAGACTTTAGAACAAATTATTATCAAGAAATTCTCAAGGACAGGAATCTCAAAAGGGGTAAAGAATCATTGGATTAAAAAAAAAAGAAAAACGTGCTACATTCCTGTAGCACTTAAACTATTACCAATAGGTAGGCATCATGGTACATGGAGGCTGTGGCATATTCCTATTTCATTTATGGAGAAGCTGTTCTTCTGCCAAAGAACAATCAGGAGAATCAATTTTTTTTTAAAAAAAAAAGTCTGAACAAATAGAAGAAAAATCTATCGCTTTACACAGATAAGTACCATCTAACTTGAATGAGCAATAAGGTTCAGCTAAAGTTGGAGGATTTCACGTGAGGAATGCAGTACCAGATGATCTCAACAAAATCAGAAAACATTAACCAAGTCCAAATAACACAGGCCAAGAAAAAGTCAAAGACAAACCAGAAAGAGAACACAGCCATCCAATAAAAGGCAGAAGAGCCTTAACCCAACGAGAAAAGAAAAAAAAAAGAAAAAGAAAAATGGCATCCCACTTGACATGATGAATCGAAAGATAAATCAAGAAAGAATTATCAAAATAAGAAGAGAATCTGAGAACCAAACACTTACAGGAAATGAATTCCCAACACTGGAAGTTGTGAAAGGAGGCTCCTTTTCCCAGTCCTCCATCTGGGCACGCAAGAAATCACAATGCAAAGGCCATGTCTTCCTTCTGCTCTCATGGGTCTCCATATCTTCTTCACCACCTTGCTCGGCGTCCTGCTCCTGCACACACATGGTGACAAATAGCCAGTCCTGTGTTGGGCTCAGCAACTTGCAGGTCTGGAAGAGAAAAAAAGGCAAGAGACTTCGATATAATTCTGAGGACTATAGAGAGAGAAGAGGAGATTCCGCGAATATGTAGGGAAAAAAAGAGGAAGGAAAAAGGTAGCTGTGCTTGTGTTTTTGTGTATAATGTATATTATATAGTAATTTCGAGAGACACTGGGAAAAGAATGATCGAGAACGAGTAACCTTAGATTTTTTTAGTAAAACGTGGCTGGAAATTAATTGGTTGGGTAGTGTTATAGTAGTTATTATACTATTATTTATGAGGCGACTTTGGTTTTTGTCGTTGTTAGAGTCTTGGACACGTCTTTTTCTCAGTTTTCTGCACCAACCACAATGCCTCTCTTGATATTTTCCAGATAATTTCTTTTCTAGAGGAAAAAAAAAAAAAAAAAAAATATATAAAAAAATATATGATTTGCCTCCATATTTATAGCCTTATTCTAAAAGCCTCCTTTCATGTCTCCCTGACCCCTCCTTGCTAAGGGTTTCATAGATTTGGATTTGACAAAGATCTCCCTAAACTCTAATAAACAGCTAGTATTGTAGATCTAAAGATTTCCATGAAGGTAATGTCAATGAGAGTCATAAGTTTCAAAAAGATGAAATTAATGACAATTTCTGATAAACTTTTCTGAAAATTCAAATAATTGCAAAAAAAAAAAATTAATTATAAATAAGATATTTAAATTTTAAATGTAATTTTCAATTTACAATTAAGATTATTTTTTATAATTATTTGATTTAATATTTGTAACTCAATTTAAAAAAATCAAAAATTTAATTGTTTTAATTTTTTTTTCTTTTAAAATTTTACGATCATTTTTCTAAGTAAGCAAGGAATCCAAAATTTTTGAATTTGCACTTCACTTTTTATCCATGTACTTCCCCAACTATTTAGGGTGTGCTTAGATATCAATTGATAAAAGTTGATTATAGAAAAAATTCATTAACAAAATGTGATGATGTTTAGATAATATTTTTTTTAAAATTGATTTTGATAATTGAATATGTTTAGATAATTTTTCAGAATCAATTATAAAGATAAAAAAATAAAAAAAAACTCATATACTAAGAATTGATTCTCAATTGAAGGAAAAAATAACTTACGTCAAATAGAGTTTCAGAAGACAAATGAAATTTTTAAAAAAATTGGGAGATGTTTGGATAAGATTTTCTAAAACTATAATTTTGGACTCATAATTAATTTTGGATATATATCTAAACAGACTCTTAATACTTATAGGATTGAGATTTTTTTTAGTTATCTAAAAAAAATTAACGAAAAGATTGTTAAAAATCTAAAGAAAGATTTTGAAAATCTTGTTCAATGTGTCCCAAAAAAAATGTAGTCTAATTCGTGAAAATGTTAGCTTAGTTTTCTCACTTAAACGAGAATCGATTAATAATCAAATAATAGACATGCACACATATATCACACGTGTCGTGTGTGTATAAATTATATATGTTGAAGTTGATTGATAATAATTTAATCCATTTGGTTGACTTTCAACTGAAGTTTTAGATTGATTTCATTATTTAGATCTAACAAATTGAACCAAAATTATTTTAATAATTTTTTTCGATTAAAATCGACCAATATGATCTAATTTTTATTACATTAAGAAGTATGAAATTAAAACTTTTGCAACTCTGAATGTGTTCTTTGTTTCTATTTATATGACTAATAAAAATCAGTAAGCGAATATTATAGATTTTAGGTAAAAATATGACTTAAAAGGTTTATTGACTCCAAATTTTTAGGGGCTGTATTCTTCAATTAATTATATTTCTATAAAGATAACTTTTTCCAAAAGTAAGGGGTTTACTTGTTTAACTATTTATCTTTAAAAACATGAAATTATTTTTAATTGAATACATTCTTTTTAATATTAAGGACATAAATTATGATTTATTAATTATTAATCAAAAGATTTAGAAGGGATTTGCTTTTAAAAGTAGTTAAAAAAATTGGGGAAATAAAATCATATTGAGAATGGAATGGGAGGGGAGAAAATTAATTTTCCTTTAATTGAATTGGAAAGGAAAGAGAAGTTGGAACAATAATAAAGAGACAAAAAAAAATAAAATGATTATTAATTTACAAAATTTTCTTGTTTAAAAAATCTGGACAACATTCTTATTTTTAACCATTATTATTCAATTATAATTGTTTTTCACTTAAAAGTATAAAGCCATTTTGTATTTATAAAATTATATTTTATTCAATTAATAAATGATTTGAGCTCTTAATTAATTATAAGGATATCTGATTATTTTCTTTATTTTAAGTTTGAGAGAGGGTTTGAATTTGAATGGTAGAAGAGACTCGTACGCGCTTAAGAAAAGTGATCTGCATTTAATTATGGAAGAATGACCTCTAGATCAGTTAGATAATAAAAGAAAGAATGAATAATAGTTAGCTATCAAAAACATTTAAAAGATAATTACAATCATTGATTCAGATAATTACAAAATAAAATTATCTTACAAATTAAGAGTTATATTTAAATTTTAAATGTCTTGTTTATAATTGAGATCTCTAAATTTATAATTTTTAACTGATATTCATAACTTATTTTTTATAAAAATTTATCTGAAATTGACCGTTATTAATTCATTCTTCTGGATCTAGTTATCTCCCTTTAATTTTTTTTTGTTTAAATTTTAATTAATTCTATGTACAGCATAAAATGAAGGAAACGTGGAAAATGTTGTAGAAAGCTAACCATTTATAAAATAATAGAGGTTCTCCATTATTGGAGGGTGGGGCCAGGAGAGGGGCTGACTCTCTTCATTTGTACGAAAAAAATCCTGAAAATTTGAGCATTGGAAACGGCATTTATAGTTTATTTATTAACTTATGATTAAACAAAGTTTCTTGAGAGGGGGTCAGTGCACGTGTTTGACTTTATTGGTTGCTTTAGCTTGCCATTCCCAATTTTCTGACCATGTTTTTTTTTTTAAATATATCAGGGGAATAATAAAACCAAAAAAAAAATTGCAAAGCAAAAACAAAATTAGAAGACTCGAGAGAGGAAGAGAAAGGGAAGAAATCAAACAACGCATGAAAACACTCGCTTGGCCAGAAAATCATCAGCCTCGTTATCATTACATGGGATCTGTTGAATAGTAACCACCCAATCACGAGCTAGCAAGGACTTGATCTTACAGACAACTGCATGATCGAGGTAGGTGTCTATCACATTCTAGTCATTAACAACTTCTGTCATGGTATTTAAATTTCTAAAATCAATAAATCTTTTATCAAAATAATAAAGCTTAAAATCCAAGAAATAGATATAATATATTTTTTAAAATAATTAATACTTATTATGGTAGAAAAAAAAATTATCATAAAGATTCAGGGAGTTCAAATTTTAAAAAGACAACACCTAATAGTCATAATTCAATTACAAGTATTACCCTAGGACCTCAGGTCTATCTACTAGTAGGCAACTATAAAACGTAATTATAAATATAATAGTCATCCATACAATGAAAATACCTAATGCAGCAAGAACTAGTGTTGTTAAAATTGAACTAGATAAAACGGTCTAATCGGTCTGACATGATTAAAGCAGCTTGGTTCAACCAATTGAACCACTAAGATGTTAGATTGGATTGACTCAGACAGAATTGTTTGAATTTCATTGAATCAAAAGCGAAGCCAGTTCAATATAGGTCAATCCGGGTCTAGTAAAAAAATAAAAAAAAAAGTTAGGGCTTGTACATAACTCATCTAAGACCTAAGAAAGCACAGACGCCACAAACCTAAGCTGAGACCTGACCTTTGACCTCTCTCTCGCGATTGCGGCTCGCCTTACCTCTCACACTCACAGTCTCACTCTTACACCCTTAGAGCTTAGACTCATCTCTCGCCGTCTCACTCCTCTGATCTCACTCTCGCCTCTCTCTGTTTGTCATCTCCAATCAACTGATCAAGCCTTCAAATCTGAAATCTCACTCACATCTCATCTTGTACTCTAATTCTGATTCGTCCCCCTCTTGCATCTCGCTTGCCATTCTAAGCCAGACCCATATTTCATGCCGCCATTTTTAGCCATTTTCGCCATTCTCAAACTGCGAAGGCAAACTTGGATGACTTCAAGCCAACTCCAAAGGCTTGAGTTTCATGTCGTCATTAAGATATTGAGCTTGTACCTCTGCCTCTACCTCTAGTCGACTTGCCTCCAGCTCCTCCCAGCTCCAACTCGTGCCTCTACCCCTGCATGATTCTCATTTTGCTCCAACTTGTTTGATTCTTGGCATGCTCTGCTCTTCTTCTACGTTTGATCTTTAGTTTCTATGTTCTATCTATGTATTTGAGTTTGTATAATGAGCAATATGTATACACAATTTGTCCAGTCATTTATCTATGTATGCTTGTTTGCTCTAGTATTCGTTGCTCTATTATTTATTGATTTGGAATTCTAGATATGATCTAATTATTCTAGATATGATCTAATTCCTGGCTTTGCTCTCTTTTTCATGTTTTATTTGTGCGTTCAATTTAAATTTAGAAAATGTCATCTGAACAAATATCTAGTGCTACATCTACACAATCTATTAGAGCTAAGTTAAATCCTACATGGGAGCATTGCATGGAAATACCGAATAAAAAAGGTAGCAAACCTCACTTAATATGCTTATACTGTAGAAAGGAATTTGGTGGTGGTGGAATACATAAAATGAAACAATACCTTGCTAGGAGAAAAAAGAGATGCAACTAGTTGTAAAAGTGTGCCACATAATGTTTGCTATCGATTGGAGGAAAATTTGAAAGAAATTGATCAAAAGAGACCAGCTAAGAAATTGAGAAAACAAGAAGAGGGCAATCCATTGGAAGTGGATGATGAAATTGTGCAAGAAATAATTCCTCAAAGTTCATCTCAACTAAAAAAAGGCATCTATAGTTAGAGACAAATTCTTTGCCCTAAGGACAACCCTAGGAGCACAGCCAGGAATTTGAAGTGCATTTACTGGTAAAGAAGCTTTGAATAGAGTGAATTTAGCTATGGTTAGGTGGTTGTATGATTGTTGCATTCCTATAAATGCTATAAATTCTATTCACTACCAGCTTATGATAGATACTATTTTAGCTATTAGCCC